AATCCCATTTCTCGGTAGGTCTTCAACGGTTGGGCTGCTATAACAAAATGCCATAGACTGGATGGCTTATAAACAACAGGAATCCATATTTTGCAGTTTTGGAGGATGAGAAGTGAAAGATTCAGGCACCAGCAGATTTGGTGTCTGGTGAGGGCAGGCTTCCTCATCTGTAAATGGCTGTCTCTTCACTATGGTCTCAAGTGGTAGGATGGATGAGGGAAATTTCTAAGGCATCTTTTATAAGGACACTAATACCATTCATGAAGACTCTGCTCTCATGACCTAATCACCTCTCAAAAGCCTCACCTGCAAATACCATCACATATCAGATTAGATTCAAAAAATAAATTCAGGGGTACACAAACATTCAGTCTATGCAGGGCACACACTCAGAAGAATGGAGGCAGGGACTACGACAGACATTTGTACACCAATAACTAAAAGGTGGAAGAAAACCCGAATATGCATCTATGGTTAGATTGATTTTTTTAATGTGATACAGAAATGGAGTGGAATACTATTTGGCCTTGGAAAAAAGGAAATTGTGATTTGTGCTATCATGTGGATGAACCAATATGCTGCCCAAACTGTTAGACACCAAAGAATATCGTATGATTCCAGTCATATGAGGTACCCAGGAGAGCCAAAGTCATAGAAAAATATAGAAGGGGTTACCAGGGACTGGGTGGAGAAAGGAAAAAGAGCTAATTGTTTAATAGTTACAGAAATTCAGTGTAGCATGACAAAAAAATTTCTGGAGTTGTATAGTGGTAATAGTTGCACAACAATATGAACGTAATTGATTATACATGTAATGATTAAAATAATGAACTGATGTTTTACATATTTTATCACATTAAAAAAGACATCTCAAGAAAAAAAATACAGATTAATAACTTTGAACATTTTAAATATAGATGCAAAAATCCTGAAGTAAACACTAGCAAATAAAATCCAGTAATAAACAGGATTATACACCATCACCAAGTGTGATCACAGGGACACAAGATTTATTAACCTCCAAAATTGAACTAATGTACTACTAATCTCAATAGGATACAAAAAAACATGATCATCTCAATAGATGCACAAAAATAATTTGAAAAAAAATCCACCTTCTTTAATAAGAAAGAAAACACCCAAAGAACTAGGAACGAATGGGAAGTTCCTCAACCTGATGCACCGAAGGCAAGAGCACACCCGGGGTCCTAGGCATGGAGCTGAGGGCTGCATCCCCCTCCACCCGGAAGCAGGCAAGAGAGCACATGCGGGGTCCTATAGAGTTGAGGGCCACAGTCCCCTCTGCACAGAAGCAGGCAAGAGAGCAATGTTCAGGGTCCTATGAAGAAGCCAAGGGCAGTTCCTCCTGCCCCAAATCAGGCAAGACAGCACACCGAAGACACCACTTCCATGCAGGTGGCCCACCACAGCCACCGCCACAGCTGTGGCTGCTGAAAAAGCAGCTCAACACCAAAGCAGCAGCTACAGCCTCCATGCAGGCACTCTTCCAGACATTTGACTGTACTGACACAAGAACAGTCACCAGTGGAGACTGGAATGAGAAGAGGTCTTTCTCCTCAAAGCCCACTCCAGACTAATAGAAGAAGCAACTGCTCTACCAGATGAGCAGACAACAAAGTAAAGACACTAGAAATACAAGAACCCAAGAAAACATAGCACCACCTAAAGCATACAGTAATTCTCAAATACCAGATCCTATAGTGCATGAAACCCTTGGAATGACTGAAAAGGAATTCTGAGCAACAATCTTAAGAAAACTCACCTGAAAGATGAGAAGACTCAGATAACATGATGAAATGAGAGAAAAAATCCAGGATATGAAAGAGGAAGTGCACAAAGAGATTAATACCTCAAAAAAGAATGTAGCAGAACTCATGGAACTGAAAGATTCACTCAAAGAAATAAAAACACAACAAGTTAAGCAGCAGGCTAGAAAAAGCAGATGAAAGAATTTCTGATCTTGAAGATAGTCTTTTCAAAATAACCCAGGAAGACAACAAAAAAAGGAAAAAAGAATTTTTAAAAATGAAGAAAACCTAAGAGAGCTAGCAGACAACCTTAAGTGCACAAACATTTGATTCATGGGTGTTCCACAAGGGGAAGAGAAAGGAAAAGGTGTGAAAAACCCATTCGACAAAATAATAACAGAAAACTTCCCAGGTGTAGGGAGAGACTCAGACATTCAGATCCAGGAGGCTAAAATATCCCCAAACAGATTCAACCCAAAACAAAACATCCTCTCCAAGACACATTATAGTCAGACTAGTAAAGTTCAAAGACAGAAAGAGAATCTCAAGAAACAAAAGAAAAACATCAGGTCACCTATAAGGGAGCCCCTACCAGACTAACAGCAGACTTCTTAACAGAAACTCTACAGGCCAGAAGAAAATGGGAAGATATATTCAAAATACTAAAAGAAAAGACTGCCAGCCAAGAATACCATACCTAGAAAAACTATCCTTCAGAAATGAGGGGAAAATAGTGTATTCTGCAGGCAAGCAAAAACTGTGGGAGTTCACTACCACACCACCAGACTTACAAGAAACCCTCAAAGGAGTCCTGCATCAGGAATCCAAAAAACAATAATCACTATCATGAATACACAAGAAAAAGCAAAACTAACTGGAAGAATTAAAATGCAAATGAGAAAGAGAAAGAAACTAAATCTTAACACCACAAAAAGCCATAGTGACAATGTAATAATTCCCTCACTTTCTGATTTTAGTAATTTTGGTCTTCTCTCTTTTTTCTTGGTCAGTCTAGATAAAGGTTTGCAAATTTTGTTGATCTTTTTAAAGAATCAACTTTTGGTTTTGTTGATCTTCTCTATTGTTTTTAAATTCCCTATTCCATGTATTTCTGTTGCAATCTTCGTTATTTCCTCCTTAGATTTCTTTTTGGTTTAGTTCGCTCCACTTTTTCTATTTACTTAAGGTAGAAGTTTACATTACTGATGTGAAATTTTTCTTATTTTTAATATAGGTATTTACAAGTATAAATTTTCCTCCAAGCACAGTATGAGCCCTGCATCCCATAACTTTTGATATGTTGCACTTTGATCTTTAACTCAAAGTACTCCCAAATTTCCCGGTGATTTTTCCTTTTACCCCTTGTTTATTTAGAAGAGTCTTGTTTACCATCCACACGTTTGGAGTTTTCTAAAATTCCTCCTTTGATTGTGCTCAGAGAACATATTTTCTATTTTCTTAGTCTTTTTAAATTTTAAAAAAAAAGGAAAAATCTAAACAAACAAAAATTTCATGGAAAGATTTCCATTATCTTTCAGTTCTATTTTCCACGAACTTTTTGAAGTGCTTGTGTTTATATTCTGTTCTATTGATTTTTTAATGCAATTTATGTTGCTAAATGTAGATATTTATGTTCTTGATTTCTTTATACTAAGTGGATTAGCTTAGAAATTAATTTGCCTTTTTTTCCCCCCCTTTTTGTCTTTTTTACTGACCTGTAACGGGATCGCAACCCTCGGTGTCACGCCCGTACCGGTGATCAGGAACGGGATCGCAACACTCAGTATTGCGCCCGCACCTCGCTCAGCCAGTGAGCGGGAACCAGTCTCCACATGGGATCCGAACCCTCGGCAGGAGCGCCGCCGCACTCCGAAGCAGTGCACTCTCCAGTGCACCACCGGGCCGGCCCAAAAAAGTCAAATACCTCTCAACAAAGAAAAGAGTAAATTTTTCAAAGACAAATTAAATTAATTTGCCTTTGAAAAGTTTACTCATCTTCCTCTGTTGAAATTAATCTGATATTTCCATGCTTTTAGAAGACTTTAGAGAGCTATTTCAAATAATCATAGAGATTATAAAATGAAATATGTAAATTTTAATATTTTACATCTCCAATTTTTGTGAAAATTTGAAGCCCTACTTTCTACAGAGTTCTGTTATTCATGTTATTCAGTTTATGTATTTGTTATTTGAACAAATAAATGTGCATATCATTGTTATATATTTTAAATACTATAATAGTCTTAAAACTAAGCAAAAATATAAAAATAAAGTGTTCTAGAATTAGATAGTGGTAACGGTTTCACACCATTGTGAATGAACTAAAATCACTGAATTATTATCTTTAAAATGGTTAAAATAGTGAATTTTGTGTTATGGGAAACTTTTTTAATAACTAAAAGTCAGGTAATAGGATTTGAAAAGGAGGAGCAGGAGGAAGCAAACAACAAGGGTCTGACTTTCCTATTCCCTTCCATGTATTTTTTCTGATACTGAACAGGGCTGCAGTGGAAGGGACGGCAGCAGCCCCAAACTCTCGTTGCCATTTCAGGGCAGTCAACAGCTGGCTTTAGGGCTGATTTAATCATTATAAGGCTATAATTTTAGTGTGTTCAGTACGTTCACAACATTGTGCAACTGTCACCAGTGCCTAATTCGAGAGCATTTTAGACCCCCAAAAGAAACCCTCACCAAATAAACAGTGACTCCTTGCCAGGTGTTAGCATCTGGGAAAACAGTCTATTGCTTGAGTGAAGCCAGGTGCCGTGTGGAGAGGCAAACCCAGTCCTTCTAGAACTTGTCTGACCCACACGAGGGCACTGAACAAGCAATAACATCAGGCCCTGAGGATGCAGGTGCCACCACATTGCCAGGCACCCTCCATGTTCCTCCCTGAGCTGAGGACTGGAAAGGATGGAAGGAGTTTAGGTGGCCTCGGGTACTATGGTCTCAGCATAGCTGGGACTTCTTCAGCCAACACAGAGACTCTCCCCGATACCCACTTTGCTTTTTGATGAGAATACTCATCTCTGGATGCTAAAGCAGAAAGATGTTTGTGGCATGCCTGCATGATGAATATTTAGTCCACAATGTCTAAAGGAGAAAAAACAGTTCAAATACTATAACCACTAAGCAATCCCTGAGTACATCATAAGGCAGAGAACAGCAGGTCTCTGCAAAGACTCCACTATGGGCGCTTGAGTACCCGCAGGAAAAAAATGTTCACGAACATTTTCAGCAAAGAAAAGTTTCCTTTATTTCTCTTCTACAATACACCATAAATAGTCCAACTGGAGACCGGGAGGATCAGTGCGTCTGGTTCACAAGGGACCAATGCAGAGTGAAACTGGTCTGGGGAATGGGCGAAGATGACAGAACCTGCAAGGAGGGGTTCTCACGTCAGCGCGATGCTGAGTATGATGGAGGCAAAGCTCAGGAAAATTTCTGACCCCCCCAAATGCACAATTCCTTCTGGCAGCTCCTCCTCAATTATCTCATCTGTGAACATGTCCCTCTCCAAGTTAGTAGGTCCTCCTTCATTGCAGCGCATGCCATTACAGCAACGAACAAAATAAAATCCATTAGTTTTGAAGGGTACTCTTGGGGCTTCAGGAACCTGTTGACTTGGATATACGAATGTGCAGTTGTTTGTACAGTTCTTGTAAACGAGTAGTTCACGAGAGTTTATACCTACAAAAAATTAGTGATGAAAATCATTGATTTCATATTTTCTTCTTGTAAATATCAAAACACATAATCTCATATTCAACCATAACTAGGTACATGCACACTTCTCCATTCCCAAATGTTACAACCTTGCCTGAGAGACAATGTCCACGTCCACTAGAGGGTATGATTAACCCAAGTACAACTTCTCTGGAGACATTTTTCTATTCATACTGCCATTTTTATGTCTGACTCTGGTCCTCCCAAAATGGTTCCATGGCACCTAGTCATGCAGCTATACAAATGAAATGCCCTGTTGACTTCTTGTCAGAAGAACTCCAGAGCTCTAGAAATCAAATGGAGAATCATGTTTGTTTATGTCCCAGGGATCATACAGACCTTTAACAGGTGTGCACATACTAATGAGGCCTTAAGCTGATTTGCTGAACTCAGAAAGACCTCTCTAGGATAAGCTCCTTCCTGGGCCCATCAGTCTGGTGCTCCAAGCTCCTGGAGCCCTTAATGCCAGCTTCCTCCCCAGCACAGACTCGATGCACATCCCATCTAGGGTTCCACAACTAATGTGATTACCTTCACTACAGGGCTTGCCCAAGGGCCTCAGCCAACCAACACTACCTGAGCAAATCTCCCTCTGAGATGTCCATCAAGACCTCCTCCACGAATTAAATTCCTTGGTTTTCATCACTACTTCTGATGTCCTTGCTATTTATACAGTGTTTACACAAATACTTTATTCTGAAATATACCATAATTGGTTCATCCATTCATGGTTCTGGGTTTTGCCTTCTCGATAACACCAGAAGGAGTTAATGACTAAGCACCAGCACTTAATTTCCTTTGTTTTCCATGTGCAATGTTTACTGAGGTTGAACTTTGCTCAGAAAAGCACATAATCCTAACTCGAAAGCTCACCAGATTGCACAAGTGCACACAGCCACGCAATTAGCATCCAGCTCAAGACACAGAGCGGGATGAAAGAGCCTGCATTCCTCGTTGTGTTCCTCCATTCAGACACTGCTGTCCACAGCCAAGGCCAAAGATAGGAAGTGTGTGGGCTTCTAAGCTCATGTAGTAGCTTTGTCTGGCTATGAACGTCGTGAAAATGAAAGTATACATCCCTTTTGTGTTTGTGGACGGCTCCTTTTGCTCCACTTTGTGTTGCTGAAAGTTGTTCCTGTTGTTGTATATTGTTGTATGTTTTTCCTTCTGGCAAAATTGTACACTATTCCACTGATGAACATACTAAAGATTATTACTGCTGGGCATTAAGGTTGTTCGTGGTCTTTATCTACTCCAAATAGTGCGGTAATGAATACTCTTGTACGTGTCTTGAGGAGAGCCTGTGCAAAAAAGTGTGTACCTAAGAGGTAGAAATGCTGAGTCTTTGATATGCAAATGTGCAGCTTTAAAAGATATCGAAATGTGCAGCTTTAACAGATATCATTGAAGAGTTTTCCAGACTGGGATGAACCTATATATACTCCACAGAATTGTGAACACTTCAAAACTCTGAAAACACTTGATATGTTGTTTTTGCATATTTACTGATTCCTTGTAGTGTTATAGTTTTGTGGTTTTAAGTTGCAAGTCCATCCAGAATGACACAATAACTTTTCATACATTTAGATACAAAAATTCAGATACAATTTTAGGGTAAATTTCCTAAATTTTTGTTTAAATTTTTATTGGACAGTCTGCTTTTTCATTTACTGATTTGTAGGATGAAGTTCATTATATATTATGAACATTTGTCCTTTGACAGATACATGTTTTCAAGTGCTTTCTCCTCCTCTATAGCTTGCATTTTTTGTTTTATACCTTATTCTTAGGAGCAGAAGATGTGAACTTTATTTATTTACTTTTTATTGGAACATAGTTGATTGTACATATCTGTGGGGTACAGAGTTGAATTCCAGTACTTGTGTACAATATGTAATGCTCAAACCCAAAGAGTTATTATATTCAGTAATACACACTGTCATTGCTATTCGTGGCCCTTCACCAACTTCTCCCTCCGCCTCCATTCCTCCTTCTAGTAACCTCAGTTCTCCTTTTGAAAATTCAAAGTATTATTATGAATGTTGTATTTTTCTTTCTTTTATTTATATGTTGTTATTTTAGCTCCTACTTATGAGTGAAAACAGATGGAATTTCTCTTTCCGTGTCTGTCTTGTTTCACTTAATATGATTTTCTCTAAGTTCATCCACGTTGCTGAGAATGGAAGTATTTCATTTTCTTTTAAATGGCAGAGTAATATTCCATTGTGTACATATACCACAGTTATCAACTTTATTCTTATGTGACTAGCACTATTTTGTTCAGTTTTAAAAATTCTGAATTACCCAAAAAATGCGAATATACTCTTCTACATTTTCCTCTAGAAATTTTATTGGTTTACTGTTTACACTGGGACCTACAAACCACACGAAACTGATTCTTTCATACAGTTCAAATACTGTGTGTAAATATCTAATCTATCCACCACTACTTCATGCAAACAAGTGTCTTCTCCACTGCACTGCAGGGTCAAATCTGTCAGTGATCAAGTAACTGGATGTATGAGTTTTTTACAGAATTCCCTTTTCCCTTCTAGAGTTCTGCTTTTCAATCCTGAAACCTATACTGCACTGTCTTAGTTAATGAAACTCTATAAATAATCTTGACAGTTCAAAGCACAGATACTCCAGCTTTTTCCTCTTTCCTCAAGATTGCCTTGGCTATTCCTAGCCCTTGATATTTCAATAAGCATTTGGAATCAACTCATCCATACACTCACACACTCCAATATGCTGAGCTCTGATTGGTATTCAACTGAATTTGTACACTAATTTGAGGAGAACAGATATCTTTACTTCATTGGGCTTCATGATCCAAAAGCATGGTGTATCCCTTTCATGCATTTAAGTCTTTAATTTTAGAAGTGTTTTTGCAGTTTCAGTGTTGAAATCTTGCACAAATATGGTTGGATTTCTTTCTAGGCATTGATATCATGGTGCTTTTTATAATGGTATTGTTTTGTAAATTTCATTTTCAATTTGTTTCTTGTTCTATAGAAAGACAATTGATTTTGTAGGTTGATTTTGAATATTTATCCAAGGTCCTTGCTAAAGTGTCTTGTTATTTGAAAAGCTTGTTGTGTTTGGTGATTAGTAGCATTTAATTTCTTTCTTGCTAATCTCCATGTATTTCAATTCTTCCTCTTGCCTAACTGAACTATGAGCTCCACTTCCATTGGAAATATAGGTGTGATGGGCAGCATCTTATCTCATTTTATACCTCAAGGGAAAAATGTTTGAAACATTGGGGGTTTTTTCTTTTTTTTTTTTCCAGTGTACATGTTGATGGGGTACATTTATTCTTTCTTTGTGTTGGTAATATTTGAGATCTTTTCTGATTATCTTGAGATATACATTATTCTCTTTCAACTGTCATCTCTATGAGCTGCAATTGCTTTGTGCTTCCATTTCCATCAGAGTTTTTTTCTCTTTAATTTGGAAAGGGTGTTCGATTTTATCAAAACGTTTCAGCACCTATGGTCACGTCTTTGTGATGATTCTCCTTTTCTCTGTTAATAGGGTGAATTAAACTAGTGGATTGGACATTGTGATCACATTGCAATTTATTGATGGAATCTATGAAGTGGTAGTTATGAGGTATGTATATAAACGAACTTCTTACTTTAAAATAGTTTTAGATTTTTAGAAGAGTTGCAAAGACATTACAAAGAGTCCTATATATCTCATTCCCCACCCCCTCTTGTCTCACATTCTTCCATTACTATGCTACATTTGTCACAGCTAATGAACAAATATCAAGAAATCTTATTAACTCAACTCCATATGTTGTTCAGATTTCATTCATTTTTCCTTACTGTTCTTTCACTGTTCCAGGATCCCATCAAAGACACTGCATGGCATTGGATGTGTTTATATATATCCAGGAGTTTATTCGTTAGTATTTTGCTAGTATTTTTGCATCTATAGTCATTTAATGAGAGTGGTTTGTAGTTTCCCTTTCTTGCAATGTCTTTGCTGCGTTTTGTTATTAGGGTCTTGTCGCCATCATAAATATGTTGGATGGGAAGCAATTCCTCGAGTATGTGTAAGATGGGTGTTAATTCTCCCAGAAATATATTAGAGAATTTGCCAGTGGAGCAGTATGGCCTAGAGATTTCTTGGTGGGTAGGTTTTTCATAAAGGATTCAATTTCACTAACAGGACATTTTAGCTTTACAATTTCATTGTGAGTCACATTTGGCTGTCTTTCTCAAGTTTTTGTTTATGTCACCGGTAATCTCAAATGTATCACAGGAGAGCTGTTTGGAACAGCCTCTTATTTTCATCATAATAAAGCCCGTAAGGTCTAATGAAGCCTTCCTTTTCATATTTGATGTTGAAAATATGAGTTTTATTTACCTTTGATTCCTTTTACTAGGTTTTACCAATAATATGAATCTTTCCAAAGAACCAACTGTGGGCTTAGTTGATTTTTTTTATTTACTATTTTTTTTGAAAGATAATTTATTATATGTTTGTGGGGTACAAAGTTGACTATCAATATTTGTGTACAATGTATAATGGTACACTCAGGACAGTAAGTTCATTCATCATTGCAATACATAATCATTCTTTGTGTCCTTTAACCAATTTTTCATTAACCTCCTTCCCTCCCCCCTCCCTCTCCCCCTTTCCACCTCTGGTAACCACAGTTCTGTTCTCTCCTTGTAAAAGTTCGATCTGTTATTGTGATTGTTGTTTCTCTCTCTCTCTCTCTTCTCTCTCTCTCAATATTATTATTATTATTTATTTATGAATTCAGCACACTTATGAGTGAGGACAAGAGGTATTTCTCTTTCTGCACTGGGGTTGTTTCACTTAGCATAATTTTCTCTAGGCTCCTCCATGTTGCTGCAAATGGCAGAATTTCATTATTTTTTATGGCTGAGGTTATTCCACTGTATATATACCACATTTTCCTTATCCAATCATCCACCAGTGGACAT